AAGTTTTCGTGACTGCAGGGATCCATTCTCTTTGGTTCTTTTGGTAAAGTCCCTTTCCCTCTCCTCGCGTCCACGCTCCCCTCCCCCTCCCTTGCCCCTCCCCCCTCTCTTACCTATATAACCTCTTACCTCGGCATCTCTCTCCCACTTCAGCAAAAAAACATATTGCGGTGGTTTTCCCACCTGATGATGCTTGCTTGTGTTGCAATCGAAACGTCGTGATTTAATTTATTTTATTTTATACCTACGTGACTTTACCGAAAGAACCAGTTACCGAGGATTGTGTTTTTTACAGCTGTGATGTTGATTCTAGTTGAGTCCTTGTGGTTTCATGCAGTGGAAAGAGATATTCTCACGTAAATTACAGAATTTAAAACATGTTATTCCGTGACAAAGTATTTATACAAAAAACGAACACAATTATTAAAGTTGTAAATAAGCAGCTATTCCCAATTACATTAGCGCTTTACAAAAAAACGTAAACTAAAGTGATTGTCAGCTCGTCAGACAAATGATGCGATAATTTCCGTAGCTATTTTAATGATCTAAGAGAGGGATTGTTGAACGGAGAGCACGTGCGTTGTAAGCGGCATGGGTTGTAATGTGGCAGTAGTAGAATCGTGTCGAGTCACCGATAACCCAAGAACATTTCACGAATCGTCATTCGTACGAGGACTACAGCAAGGGACACACTGATGCGATTGAAATCTGTAGCACATCTTCTTGGTTCTTTCGGTAAAGTCACGTAGAAGGAAAATAATAAAATAAAAAAAATAAAACATAATAAAATAATTCTCACCATTTACGTGACTTTACCGAAAGAACCAAGAAGATGAATCCCTGCAGTCACGAAAGCTTAAAATCGAAATCTGTAGCACAGTTACAAAGTTATAGGAATCTGATATCGAAATAATCGTCACGAAAATATATCCTGTATTTTATTGTAAAATATATATCGCAGCAACCTTAGAAACTTCTTCTTGCGTATGGCTGATGTAGATGCAGAGCAACAACTAAAATTGCACATTCAGGTGGTACAAGCCCAGTCGTGTATCGTTGTGATGTCTCCTTCGTATTTGTGGATCGGACATTGCGTCGTTATTGTGTTGTGCTACGGTCTGTTCTAGATGACAGCAGTCGCACACTACTGCAGCGTTTGTATTGATTTTCCATTTGAAGCGAATGCGTCGTTACGATTCCAAGCCAGGGTCTATGGCTAGTGACACAGGTGTTGAGTAGCCATGAATAATTCAACAACTGCACGATAATTGACTGCGTCATCTGTAGTCGGTGCAGGTTTTAGCTTTCAGGGATTGATTCACGGTCGTTGGTTAGGCAAAAGCTTTGCTCGGTGTGTTTTGTCAGCGTCTCTCTTGTTATGCAAATTGAAGTTATTTATTTCCCAAAGAGGCCGGAGTTGGCACTGTATACAATTACTGTGTTGTTCTGTTCATTTAATTATCCGTGTACCTGGTTATCAATAAAATAATAATGAGGTTGCATGTTTTATCATGTTCTGTACCCTGTTCTTTTAAAGGTCTCCCCTGATAGCGAGACATCCTGTGCCAATGATATTGAGATTTAATATTTGGATAGAGTCCCTGAACTCATTCTTGTATTTGCTTGTTTGTTTAGTCAACATGCGCCATGTTCTATCCATTGCTGAATGAAGACACCCCTAATTCGTCGCCATTACAGGTTCTGCAACGTAACAATACATCGAGCTCATGCATATGAGCTGATCTCATTTTACTCCATCTGCGACATAGAATTATAATGTATTACTTACTGTTAGTAGCTCAGCTTATTGTAGAGTATATTTAGTATACTGATGATACTATGTAGTTTATACTTTAGTGTTTTACGTGGTTGTTTAGTTACTGCAGCTACATACTATTAACATTCCTTCCCTTTATTAATGCTACCCCTATCCCCTCCCTTTGATGCTGCTAATCCTGCATAATGCACGGGCATAATATGACTTTGAAACCCCCCGCCCACCTCCTACGAATTCCACAAGTAGTACGAATCACATACCTGCATTTTCCATAAATATGCTAAATTCCTCTTGATATGCAAATTATTTTCTCAAGGCGCCCTTCCCCCCTTCTAACTCAGCTTAAATATACGCTCCAAGCGTGGTGGTGTTTCATTCAGACGCTGTCTCCCCGACAGACCTGGTCTTCACCTGAGGACGGCTGCTTGCGTTGTGGCCGAAACGTCGTGATAATTATTTTATTATGTTTTATTTTTATTAATTTATTACTTCCCTTCTACGTGACTTTACCGAAAGAACCAAGAAGATGGTATAGTTCTCTCATTTTTCAGAGTGGCAGCAGTATCACCACTTTTGAAGAAACCTGGCTTCGACCTGGAACTCCCCAGCAATTTCCGTCCAATTTAAAATCTCCCATATTTGTCCAACATACTTGAGCGTGCCATAGAGATTCGTCAACATTTGTGCATAAACACCTTTATTGATCCATTTCAGTCAGGTTTTAGACCTGGGTACAGCACCGAGACAGATCTGGTGATAGTCATCCATGAGTTGCTAACATCTGCAGACAAAGATTCTGCTTGATCATAGCACACATTTCGATATAATTTACTCGAGCAGTTGAAACTCGCGATGGGGGTCTTGTGCCCCCATCTTGCAATTGTTCCACTCCAACCGGCCAAAATGTGTGCGATAAATCACTATGGGCAGGTTTAAAACTTCTCATAGTCCGGTTGTATATGGCATCATCACTCATGGATCTGTTCTAAGCCCCACTTTAGTCAGTGTGTGTATATGGGCCGCGCTTGGAACGTTTCCCCAACACCAAGGGCTCGTCACTGTTGCTACGTGGGCGACACGTAGATCTATGTTCAACTGAGATCGGACTGCATGTCCTCGGCCTGTGCACTATCATCGCCGCTCTCGCTCATAAAATCTGAGAAGCAGCAGAAATGTTCTCCAACTTAACAGTGATGGAACGGAGATCCTTCTCATTGCATCCCGCCCTTCCCCGCCGGTTGTCCAGGGTCGGCCTCCTCAATGTTCATCTTCTTGGTTCTATCGGTAAAATCACGTAGAAGGGAAGTAATAAAATAATAAAAATAAAACATAATAAAATAATTCTCACGACGTTTCACCTGAAGACGGCTGCTTGCGTTGTGGCCGAAACGTCGTGAGAATTATTTTATTATGTTTTATTTTTATTATTGTATTACTTCCCTTCTACGTGACTTTACCGAAAGAACCAAGAAGATGAATCCCTGCAGTCACGAAAGCTTTAAATCGAAACTCCTCAATGTTGTAATCGACGGTTAGGAATGTTGCCTGGCTTCACCACATTTCTTTTTTCGTCGATTTTAAGAGACTGGTTTACGTGCTCGTCATCTCCCGTCCTGGCTATTGCATTGCCTAGCTCTGCCATGTCCCGAGTGCCCTCCTTAGAAGATGACAGTCTGTCCACAATGTGACTGACAGTTTACTCACTCGCACTGCTCTTCCGGACCATACCTCCCATTAGCACAGTTGACTACGTACGGTGTGAAAGAAGTTCAACATATATACATTTGTCACACCCGTGCTCATGTCTCTGCATCTGCTACCAGTTCAAACCCGTGTTCAGTTTAAGATTCCCCTACTTGTGTTCAAGGATTTAAATGGGCTTCCTTCATCCCATACATCTGTGTGCTACTGGGGTTTTGTCTACACAGCACCCAGGATCTTGAATTCGCTGCACTAGGAGGTCAGGAACTAGCAGTTGATGGAGATTTTTAAGTCCTAGTTGAAGACCCCCACCTGTTTAAAAAGGCTTCCTCTCTGTAGTTCTCCAGCTTATTTCTTGAGTCTTTCTCTCACCAGTTACTTCTCACTTGATTTTTTTCCATTTATTTGCATGGCACTCTGAGATTCATGATTTAAGGGTGCCTTATACATCTAAATAATGTTTACTTGATGCTGGTCAGTGTGGGTTGGGGAAGGGGATACCTCGAACCTGTTCAGATCACTTGGCACCGGTGTTAGCCATGGCCGGGAATCGAACTCAGGTTACGGGTTCATTGTGCCAAGTAAAACAGAAATGCGCCACAGTTCCACCCCAAAAGTTAATATGATGCCCCTAGTTTGCGATTGTTATTTGATGAAGTTATATTTACAGTATTTTATAAAGGAAGCATGCCACATGAGGCCTACCACTTTCTGCAAACGCTAGTTATCCATGATATATATATTTTTGTCATACACCCACCTCCACCCAACACAACGAATTAGTTATCCATTGCTGCAATCATATTGGCCACACTGATCAGGTACTACTGTACTGTATAGGGAAATATTTTCAATTGGGCAAGACTGTGGTTATACATTTGAAAACACAACGAGCCTCATTGATTGCTCGCGTTATTTTGGATAACGTTAAGCGTGTGTGTCTCCGTGTGGTTATCCGCTAAAGGTATTCGAAAGACCTGCAAGCTAAAAGGTTCACCATCTGTGGCTTATATGAACAGCCAGTTGCCCGGTCGTGATGGGTGAAGCAGTGTGTTGGGCCTTCGTGGGTTATGCAATCCGACCATGAGTAAGATGAGGAAGAGAGGGGGCGGAAGGAACGTTGATGGTCGCTGGCTTTGTGCTCGTGGTTGGAGATGCGTTGCATCTGTGCGGTGGTTGTGTGGAGCGGTGAGCTACCAACCCCAGCTGCACACAAATTGCCATTCCCTTCCACGGCCCCCTGGACCACTCCATAGGTCGACCCAGCCTTGGTTGCGGTGTGTATACACATGAGCACCCGCCGTGGTTCAGGCCACACCACCTCACTTTGGGTTTTTGGTCCGCTCCCACCTGAACAGGTGCAGCACTTTTGCCAAGTACTCCCAGCACTTGTCCCGAGGGTTTATGGAGGCTACCTTAAGGGGGGGGGAATCTTTATCTTTGGCACTGGATGTGGTTCAGGCCACACCACCTCACTTTGGGGTTTTGGTTCGCTCCCACCTGAACAGGTGCAGCACTTTTGTCAAGTACTCCCAGCACTTGTCCCGGCGGTCTATGGAGGCTACCTTACCGGGGATGGGACCTTTATCTTTGGTGTGTGGAGGGTGGGGGCTATTCTAAGCCCACGCCGCCCACAGCCGATATAAGCCGGGCTGCGTGTGCGGGTTAAGCCTCATTAAAGCTTCCGCTGTACCCCGACCGTGTGGTCTTTCTACGTCGTCGTCATCAGCGATATTAACATCGCGTTTGTATTGCTTTATCAGCATTGTATTGCTGCAGCTGATGATGATATAGCAGCAGCAGCAGCGTTAGCGACAGCCGGGGTTTAAACAAAAAAACCCGAGAGACATTTTTTTGAACCGAGCCGCGGCGATAGATAGCGATGGGCCATGCGTAAAAAAAACCCAAACCGTAACGCGGAAACATACAAACCCCGCCGACACTGTATGCGCTGTTACATTTCGCCGTTCGCGAGACGTGTCGATGGTTTGTTCGGTGTAGCGCTGCGCTTAACACGCGCGCACGCTCAGCGCGGGTGCTTTAAGCGCTGGTCACCGCGACACGCGTGTTGCTGCCGCTGATGCGCGCTGCTGATGATGATGCGCGCTGCTGATGCATAATGCGGTAGTGGCACGCGATGCACGGTGAATAGCGAGCGACGCTTTGGCGTACGAAAGGGTGGAATCTAACATTAGTGCGTGACGGGCATGGACCTCGGCGGTTTCTCAATCAGTTCCGAATGATCTCCGTTAGACTCACCATTGTATCACCACCCATAGACGTCTAAAAAAACCCAGCGTTGCTCTCGGTATGCCTTAATTGGGGGGGGGGAGGGAAGACAGAAGCCGACGCTCGCCCGCTAATTAAGCGAATCAAGAGACAACTCGGAACATGGACGAGACGACGAACGTCTCAAAGGTTCGTGCAGATGCTGGTGGCGGCGGCGGCGCTGATGGTGGTGGAGTCGAACCCGGGGTCCCCTCTGCGTCTGGTGGGCCGCATGAGCCCCCGTGCGGCCTCTCGCCCGGACACGCCCTGGCGAAACCATCCCTGGCAGGTGGGTCGGGAGCTGACCCGCCAGCGGGGAGGCCTTCAGTCGACGTTCCGGGAGCCGACCCTCCTCCTCCAAGCGCACATTCGGCCAGCGTCTCGGACGGGGGCCTCTCAAGGGCAACCCCGCCGGCCGGTGTCCCCGTGCCCGACCGGGCGAGAGGACCGTCGGTGGACGACGTTTCGGACGGGGGCCTCTCAAGGGCCGGTGTCCCCGTGCCCGACCGGGCGAGAGGACCGTCGGTGGACGACGTTTCGGACGGGGGCCTCTCAAGGGCCGGTGTCTCCGTGCCCGACCGGGCGAGAGGACCGTCGGTGGACGACGTTTCGGGAGGGGGCCTTGCGGCAGAACATTCGGCCCGTGGCCCGGCGTCCGAGCTCCCGGGAGGACATCCGTGCGGTGTCTCAGGAAGAGGCCACCTGCCCCGAGGCTGGGCAGAGTCATCCTCGCCGGAGGTGGGGGAGGTGGACGAGGTGGACTCCGCCGGTGACATGGGGCGCTTCGCGAGGCTGTTTTCGCGTCTGGACGCGGACGGCAACGGGAAGGTGGACATCGACGAGCTCCGTGCCGGACTGCGGCTCGCTGGGTCCGGGCAGCTCATGGAGGGAGTTGACGAGGTGGGTTCCTTATGGGTCTCGGTGACGTTTTCAAGGTTCCTTGGTGGCCGAAGAATACGCGGCACCGTTATGAGCAGAGCCCCCCTGCGGCTTGACATATGATAAGTACGCGTGTCGGTTTAACACGGAGTGGAGGCTGTCGCGGCCAATATTGGTCACAATAAAGGTTTTTGGGGTTTAGATCGCGTAAGTGGAAATGTGTCATAACCCTCCATCACCCGACACAGCCAATCAGATTTGTCACGTAAACAAAACGCGCCAATTAGTTACTACTTCAGCCCACCTGTGTGTTGGAGAGTAATTCCACAACGTTTCTAATTTTGAGTTCGACGTTTCGCTTGTAATTACATCCGGCTTCATCAGCATACACTGACTCATTCGCCCTCCAGACCCAACATCCAGCAGCAGTCGCATTTGTTCAAGCACCCACGTTCAGGACTGGTTTCGACGAAACGGGTCTCATCAGCAGTTAAAGAAATGCAGCACGCGGTCCTTACCAGCTGTTCGTGGCCACGGCACTCGCATTTAAATGATTGGTCCGCTTATTCAAGGCAAAATAAAAGTAATCTTGCGTATCAACTCCAGTTGTTGTGGAGCTAATGGGTTCAATTGTCACAGCTGTGGGAACTGCGACCCGCGGGGGCGTATGCAGGCAGCGACTTCGGCTCGTGGGCCACTTGAGGTCTCCAACTTGGAAACTATATTTAACCGTCGCTGCAAGAATCGTGGCCTTACTTTTTTTTACTTATGTATGTTGAACTTCTTTCGCACCGTACGTAGCCAACCATGCTATTCGGTGGTGCGGGGGAAGGACACCAAACTATCGGTTTCTGTGTGAATTCTAGGGATCTCTGTATGAGTCTATGGTTCTCTGTGTGAGTATGTATGTATGTATGTTTCACTTCTTTCGTACTGTACATAGCCACCCATGCTGATCGGTGGTGCGGGGGAAGGACAACAAACAAAACACAAAAAAGCAGTTGCAAAGAAATCAGTTTTCAATCTAGATGATTTAAAAGTGCATAACTCCTGTGGATTCCTAATATCGGAAGGAAGAGCGTTCCAGACGGTCACAGGAGCGCGTCTGAAAGTGTGCGATGCGGCGACCGTCTTTGTTCGATGGTGAGCCACATGCCTCTGTGAGGATGATTGGAGTCCGCGTGATGGTGGTTTATGTTTCTTGACGAGACCGCCGAGGTATCATGGTTCATTTGTGGCAAGCACTTGTGTGTAATGAGTGCGTTTTTGTGTTAGGCCAAGGTTGGTGGCTTGAAGCAGTATACCTGATGGTGCAAATCTGATATTCTTCCCCAGCGAATGATCAAAGGGGTCGCCGGTATTATTACTATGTGGCCAGTGATGCTCTATGTGCCCATGGTGTGAGAATGGTGGCCGCAAACGCACTGTGGGCTATTTTAAGCGTATGAGATAGAAGCTGCACTAACCGGGTACAATGTTTTTTGACCTGGCATCTACACCGTGTTTCTAATTTTCTTGTGCTTAGTCACTTGTGTCACAACAGGGGCCTGTTCATACTAGATTGACACACGCACCTTGTTGTTGTGTTTGCGTTGTTACTGGCTAACGCTAAGGTGTGTGCAAATGTGTGGCCCGCCAGATCATTTGAGAGTCCTACTCCGGACCTCCATAAGGCAAAGCGTCCTAACTCCTGGATTAAGTGATACCTGGCCAATCAAGAGGACTTTTAGTCAATGTGTCAGGACTCTGACCTCGCTAAAGTACCGTGAAATTATTAGCTGGTTTTTCAGGACTCAAAAATGCAAGAGGACATTTATCCATTAACTATACGTTGAGAATCTGTCTGTCTGTGGCCAAATCACCATACATTTTGTGCCATCTCAGAAGCTGTGGGGCTAAGCCTGCTTCGTACTGTATTTGGATGGGAGAATACGTGGATTCTTATTCAGTGGCTGAATTATTGCTTATTTGGAAAGCAATAAAGGCTCGAAGGTGTTTTTCTTCCCCTATTCAGTAATGTCAATACCATGGCGTGGCTTGCATGGAATTAAAGTTGCATTCCTGACCAAATTTTAATTATAAGGGTTGGTCAGAAAAAATGTTGAGAATTGGATATTCAAAGTACGTACTGTACCCCCAGGCTAACCCTGCTTTAATGTATTCATTGATATGGTTATTGCTGCATGCATGCAATTGTAGTGCTGTAGTTAATAATTGCAGATCTCGGTAGCTAAGCAGGTTTGAGCCTGGTTAGCGCTTGCATGGGTCACAGCCATGTACTCACAGGTTAACATAGGGATTTTGATTTTATATATCAGGCAGCAGAACAACCTATTGTACTGTACTTATCACATAACTAGGCCCTATATCTTTAACCCGACCTGAACAGTGTGCTGAAGAATTGTCAAAAAACCCCTACAACACACCGACAATTTCTAACTATTTTACTATTTTTATTTTACCAGGTAAACCTCACTGAGCTATGTGGCTCTTTTTTCAGAAACCGACCTGGCCACAAATGATAGCTCAATGAAGTGGCTTATTATGTGGACATTTATAGCAGCCAAATGCTCTAAACGCATGTTTCTAAATGTGGAGGGAAAAACTGGAGGACCCGGATAAAAATCCACGCGACCATGGGGAGAACATGCAAACTCCAAATATAGAGCAGGCGTCATGGTCAGGATCGAACCCACGACTTCCTGTAAACTAGACGAGGTAGTTAACATCTTGCCACAGCGGCTTTCCCACTTGAAGCGGGGAAGCCCTCATGCAACAGTGGATTGTGTAGTTAATGATTAGCACGCAAAAACGAGGTCCAATTGAATCCTAATGTCATGTGTGACTTTTTGAACTTTGAGTTTAGAAGGTTTTAACAGCCCCACTTAACAAAAAGATAGGATGGATGCATTCCTGTGAATAGATTGCTATTGCCGTCTTTAGATGTTGACCAGCGTGGTTAAAGTATGGCCAATTAACCCCCACAACCACATGGTATGCAGTGGATTAACAAAAGGGTTGTTTGTGTACATGTACCCTGAACCACTAAATACAGTACAGTAAACACCCATAGTTGGCAAATATCTTTTAATAAATCCACTGCGCGCATTGCATTTGATCTGGTAACCATGGATTTTTTTTTACTTGCGTCCCACAAGTCAGGCATCGCCTCGACCCATGGAGAAGCATTCATCAACAAATAGAGTCATGGACTTTGGAATGTCGCCGGGCAGGCTGCTGTGGGCAGGAATTGAGACGGGGTCTACGGCTGGATGGATGCCACGCAATTCCAGTCGATCGGATTTAAGAGAAGTGTTTTTTATCACTTTGATCTCAGAGCAGCGTGTGCCGCTGAACGGGAGGTGATGGGTGGGGCTTGGTTGACTGGCATTGGCATTATCTGTCACATGCCGCTGGGTCTGGAATAGTGGTTTCCTGCCTTCGTGAGGCAGGATGTTGGCACGCGCCATGATTTTTGAAGAGTCCTGAGTAATCAACAATAATGACGAACGAAATTGACAATTTGTCCAAACCCTACAGGATAGTGCGTCGATGGGCGACTATCATGCTTAAAACGGGTGTTATAGGCTGCTTCTGATACGTTACTTCAGTGCAGAAAAATACATTGTTGTAACTGTACAGGATGGTCCAGAAGTCTTGTGACTCCCAATTAATTGACCCCGAACATGTTTTGACTTTGCATATTAATTTATGTTTTAATTCATTTTTATTTTTACTTTTGTCGATAATTAAATAGGGGTCACAAGACATCTGGACCACCTTGTACTTCTATGCCTTCTCATCTCTGATCCCCTCCTTTACCAAACTGCATTGGCCAGCGTGGTGAAGTACTAATGTACATAATAGAGTAAACATTTTTGGGTTAGCTTACAAAAATATAAATGTGTCGTTAAACCCGCCACCACCTGACACAGCCAATTCGTCACGAGTACAGCACACCGGGTGTGTTGGAGAGTAAACCCACAACATTTATAATACACCAGTATGCTGAACTCGTAACGAATTGCCATGTTCTGTTTACGTGACAAACCTTACTAATTGTCTGTTTCGGGTGGTGGCGGGTTTAGCGACACATTTATATTTACATGATCTAACACAAAAAAATCTCCCTCTATTATGGATAATATTAGTCGCGTGTTAAACCTACTGCTGTGCAGTCGGTGTGGGGAAGCCCGCGTCCACGCGTCCACCAGTAAATTGATTAGAGGGCCGTGCATGGACATCTTTTACTCCTGAAGCGCATTGAAATAGCCCTCTTGGTGTGTGTTTTTTTGCCACCCAGGTACTATAATAATGTTGACATGCGCAGGCACGTGGCCTTGTGTGCCCTAACCAGGTGTGGCTGCAGCCCTCGTCATGTCCATGTGGGTCTGCAGGCTCGCAGGAGGTTGCTGGGCCCTGCTCTGAATTTTAAGTCTGCTGCGGTTGCTGCTGCACTGCAAGCAAGAATCAATGCCGAACGATTCTGATAATCAATGTAGCTGTTCAAGAGGTATCGTGGATACTTGGAGAATAGCCACTCTTAAGACAAGTGTTCTTAGTGTAACTGAGACGTGGTAAGCGGAATACATATGGATAAGGAAACAAACACAAATCAATGACGTGATATTGATTGTTAAGGACAGTAAGCGGCCTTGGAGAGCAGAGCTACGGAAGAAATGATAATTATGGCCGTTAGACGAGATTGGCGATGGAAAGGTGCCCAAACGAGGGAATGTGCTTAAGTGGGTGACCCCTGCAGAAACTAAGCATTTGGCTCCGTTCACGTAGTGGGGAGGGAGGGCGCCACAGTGGCGAGATGTTAACTACCTCGCCTGGTATACAGGAGGTTGTGGGTTCAACCCCAACCCTGACACCTTGCATTCTCTTCCCATGGTCACGTGGATTTTTCTCCTTGTCCTCCGGTTTTCCCCTCCACATTTAGAATCATGCTTTTAGAGTGTTTGGTTGCTATGCTATAAATTTCCACATGATAAGCCACTTCGTTGAGCTATCATGTG